GTGTGTGTGTGTGTACATGCATGCGTGTGTGTGTAAGAAAAAAAGGTTGGAAAACGTAAAAGAAAAAAAGAAAAGTAATTTCCATAAACAAAAAAAAGTGAGGATGGTCAGCTTTTTTGACCCTTACACTTTAGGAATGTTACCAGGAAGGTTCTCGAGAAACATATTATTTCTTGGTAAAGTCATCAAAAAGAGAAAGACCCCCATGGAGGTGAGTGAGGCAGAGACTACAGCCAAGTGCTTAAGCACAGTGGAGGCTGTGTGGACGGCTCAGGGTCAGGCCCTCTGTCATAGGCAGGGTCACTAATCGCAGAAGCCGGGTCAGTGGCACCTAACCCCAGAAACAAAACATCATAGTGATTTTCAAATTATCTACCACCAAGGGTTAACAGTATTCCGAGGTTTAATTAAGAAAGGATTAATTTTTAATTTCTTTATTACTGTGATAGATTGTTACCGTGGCTGGGGCACAAATAACTAATATTGACAGAGTTACTCCCTGAAATTGAATTTTGGGATTTATGTTACAGTCTAACTAATAACCTTATATATTGGTTTAATACTTGATAGTATAGTAATTATATCTTATTAAGAGCGCCTGTTTATGGTTGAAAGTGGAGAAGACCAAAAGGATGTCTATTTGTATTTTATTGACTATACAAAAACATATCCTTTGCGTATGACTTTGTGGATCGTAACAAATTATAGCTAACACTGAGAAAAGGAGAAATTCCAGAACACTTCATTGTGTTTGTGAGAAACGTACACCTAGACCAAGAAGCTGTTGTCCTAACAGAGCAAGGGAACATTGCATGGTTTAAAATCAAGAAAGGTGTGTATCTGGGCCACATCTTTTCTCCATACCTGTTCAGTCTAGATGCTGAGCAAATCATTTGAGAAGCTGGACTTTATGAAGAAGAATGTGGCATCAGGATTGGAGGAAGATTCATCAACAACCTCCATTATGCAGATGACACAGCCTTAACCTTGCTTGCTGAATGCTAGGATATTTTAAATACTTGCTGCAGAAAATCAAAGAAGCGGTTAGAAGGGGCCAGTCTTAGGGAGCTCTGGTGGCCTAGAGGCAAGAAGCTGCGCTACATTCCCAAAGGCACGTGGTTCAAATCCACCAGAGCAGATACTCTGCTGGAGGAAGGGCAATCTCCTCCTGTGCCAGCTGAATCTGACTTGGTAGTACACAACAATAACAACAACAAAAGACCAATCCTTGCAAAAAGACTTGCTTAGAAAGGTAAAGGGTTAGTGAAAGAGAGAAAGACCCTCAAAAAGATGGCATGACACATTGACTGTGACAATGGGATCGAGTCTAGCATAGATGATAAGACTGATACAGGAGATGGTAGGATTCAGAGCTGTTGTTCGTAGGGTTGCTACAAGATGAGTTGGAGGCAACTTGATGGCACATAACAATAACAACATTTAGGAATAGTTCCTGTGTAGGAAGCACTGTGCTCAGAATGCTAGGGACATCACCTCACTCAAATCTCCTTCCCTGTATGTGGAGGCTGAATCGTTACCTTTTTTTATAGGTAGTATTCAGAGGTTGTGTGATTTTTTTTACACATATCATGTAACTAGTTAGTATAAGAACTAGAATTTCTGTTGGAGCCTCTTGACCTCATATCCCCAGCTCTTAGCCAGTATACCATAATATCACTAAATTTATAAATTAATATATAACCTTCTTTTATGTACCATTAGGGAGATTTGGTGGCCTAGGCCACAGGGACTTGCACTCCTAACTCAAAGGCAGTGGCCTCTCTGTGGGTTCAAACCCACCCTCAGCTCTGTGGGAGAAAGATGGGCAGTCTCCTCCTGTGTGATCCACAGCCTCTAAAAGACAGCTGGAGGGTCAGTTTCGAGTTGGTTCTGCCTCAATGACAATGAGTTTGAAGGTCAAGGGGGTTTTGTGGGTTTTTTAGTTGTTGTTAGGTACCTTTGAGTTGACTGTAACTCACAGTGGCTCTGTGAAAAATGGCCCTGTACCTTGGCCTGCTGCACCATCCTTTTTTGAGACAACAATGTTTATTCTTTTGACAAGCTTTATGTCTTCCTCCAGGGACCGGACATTAGGAAAGGGGCTCAAGTAGGCAGAAGGTTCTGAGGTAGGTCTGTATAGTTCAGAAGAGAGGTCTGAACCAAGCAAACAAACATTTAGTTACTGTCCAGATAAAAATGTGGATGTGTTCATATTATTTTTGTAACATTGAGAAATTTCTCCTTAGCTCTCATTTCCTTCCTCCTACCTTTTTTTGGGGGGAGCTTAATTTTAAGATTGTTCTCTCCCTGATTTACATACTTCACTGACTCAAGAAAAACTCAAAACTCATTGTCATGGAGCTTGGAGCAAGTCACAACAGACCCTTTATTGGGTTTCCAAGGCCCTAAGTCGCACAGGAGAAGATGGCTTATCTTTCTACGGAGAAGCTGCTGTTTCACTCTAACTGCTTCAGCCATGGGGTTCAAGGACATTTTTGCAGGGGGTAAAAAGGATTTGAAATTCTGTAGCAGAAAGAATTTGCAACAGGCTGGCTTGTTGGGGTTTAGTTCCAGAGTTTAGAAATCTTTAAAGATGGAGGAGAGGAGCTCAGAAAAAAATGAGGCAGAGAGGGGAAAAAAAGTGTTCTCCACCTACAGGGTTGCTTGGCCACGCCCCTTACTGTGACCAGTTCCAAACCATCTCCTTGAGAGTTGTTGGTTTTGTTTTTTGTGTATCGCACCTCTACATCATCAAACAAGAGTCCTTTCTCTAGAGACTGTCTCTTGTCATCATCCTTCCTGCTAAAAAGAGTCTTCATTCTTCTGGAAATACAGGGGATACTGAATATTTTTTAAAATGTTGTTACTATTTTTGTGTGTGTACTGTCAAATCACATCCTACTAGTACAGGAGGAGAATGCCCCTCCTTCTCCAGTGGAGCATCTGGTGGATTCGAACTGAGTGCCTTCAGGATTTCAGTGCAGCTTCTTGCCACTAGGCCACCAGAGCTCCCTGATACTGAGTATTTTTGCCAATGCTGTAGTTCAAAGACATCTGTTCTCCGGTCTTCCTAATGCACTCTCCAGCTTTCAGGTGCATACGGGGTGAATGGAAATAGCATAGCTTGAGTCAAGTGCACTGTCAGTCTTCACAATGACATCATTGCCCTTGAACACTTTATTGAGATATTGGGCAGATCTGTGGCGAAAGAGCTCATAGGGAGAAAACTGTTTAAAAGAGATATGTGATTAGGTATTTCTGTCATGACAGGAGTCTAGAGCGGTGGCTACATGGTGGAGTGGATCTGGGGGAGGGTTTGTAAAATAATGAAAGAGTCTTTTCTTTTACTTTCCCAAGAGGGTAATGTCTGGGGGGGGGGAAGCCTTGGGAGGGGACAAATCTACAACAATGAATGAATGGAAATCCAAAGCCTCTGTAAATTTTCACTGAAATTAATAACAAATTTAAA